AAAAAAAAAAAACTTTCTTTCCACTTCTAATTAAGAAGGGAGCTACTTAAGGTAGGAACAAGGCAAGGTGTGCACTCTCACCACTCTCTTCAGCATTGTCACGAAGTTCCTAACCAGTACAATATGGCAAGAAGTAATAGGCATACCTATCGGAAAGGAAGAAATAAAACCGTCTCTATTCACAATGGAATACCTCTAGACACTTACTAGAATGGCTGCAATTTAAGCACGCATACACACAACTGACAGTGCCAGGTATTGGCAAGGATATGAAACAGTTAAAACTCTCCTACGCTGGTGGCAAAAATGCAAAGTGGAATGAGCACGTAGAGTTTCACATACACTTGCCATACAACCCAGCAATCCAAGTAAACTGAAAATATTTTCACATAGAGACCTGCGTGTGTACATAGCAGCTTTATTTATAATCACACCAAACTGGAAACACCTACATGTTCTTCAGCTAGTGAATGGATGGACAACCTGTCTTGGCAAGGCAAAGAAATGAACTCCTGGTTTATGCAATAACACAGATGACTCCCAAACGTATCGTGCAGATTGAAATGAGCTGTAGTCAGAAGGCCATGATTCTACTTACATGACATTCCGAAAAACACTACAAGGAGAGAAACAAGGTTAACGGTTGGCTGGTTGAGATTGGGGAAGGAAGGATAAATCACAAAGACGCATGAGGCAGTTTGGGAGCGTAATGGAACTTTTCTATATCTTTACTCTTACTCTGGGGGTAGTTATGTCATTATTGTTTGCATTTGTCAAAACTCATGCAGCTATCTATACACACGAAAGGGTGACTTTTACTGTACAAGCGTATAGATTATATCCAATAAACCTAACCTCCAAAAAATCATCAGGTGCGGTTAGGCACAACAAAAAAACCCAGTGAACCTAAAGACAGGTCAATAGAAATTTAACATGTTTTAAGAAGAAAGATGAAAAAAGAAAGAACCTTCTAGAGATGTCGGGAAGTATCAAGCAGTCAAGCCTATGTGTAATTGGAGTTTCAGAAAGAGAGGAGAACAGGTAGAAAATTATTTGAGTATATATTGGCCCAAAATTATCCAAATAGGATCCAAAGGATAACATCAGGTCTGGGAAATTCAGGGAACCTTGAGCAGGATGAATAAATCATTAACATTTACCCAAAGCCCCAGGAGTTTGGCAGTTTTTACCAAACTACTTAAAAGTTAAAAAAGCAAGTAGTGAGAAGGAATAAAAACAAAACAAAAAGAAAAAACCATATTACATTTGTGGGGGGGAGGGGACAAGTAGGAATGACAGCTGCCGCCTTTTAAGAAACTGTTGCAGCAAGAAGACAATGATATCTGTTAAGGTACTGGGGGAATTCTTACTCTAGAATTCTATGTCAGGAGGCATCTATCAATTAAAATGCTTTATGTTTACATTTTTAAGACACGAGGTCTTTCTCAATTGTTTTAACATCTTGCCTTCCATTCCTTGCCTCTCTATTCCCACCAGAAATGACTACTTTGTGCTACTTTTTCTGGTCCTGTATTAAAGCAGATTTCTGTTAATTCTGGGCTTTCTCTCCTTTTCAGTGGTCAAATGTCCATTTCCAAAAGTCAAAAATGGAAGACAGGTAGCAGGACTTGGAAAAAAATTTTACTACAAAGCAACGGTTATATTCGAATGCAATTCAGGTTATTACCTTCATGGCAGTGACACAAGTGTCTGTCAGAGTAATAATACTTGGTACCCTCCACTTCCAACGTGTCCTAAAGGTACAAAGGTGGTCTTTTTTCCTTGTTTTTGTTTCGTTTTAGACTTCATTTCTTTGATATTAATTATTAGTAACACAGAATAATTAAAAAGCAATTTTAGCATTTAACTCTGATAGATTATATGATAGAAATAAGTATCATATAAAATTCACACAAAATATATCTCTCATATATATATATATATATCTCATAAAGAATTCTGTTGTGGTTGTGTGGGTTTTTCCAGGGGTATGTTGTGTATAGAGCCTGGGTATATAAATTTCTGCTGCTCAGTATTTTTACCTATTATACATAGGTGGATTGCAGTAACTTTATTTTTATCGTAAAAACAAAAAGAATAAAAGGTGTAACTCATATAAATGAAATGAGAGCAATAACGTCCAAGTTGTTTTTTTGTTTTCCAGTGCTGCCTCCTCCCAGTACAACTTTGAGTCATTCAGGTTTAGTAACTTCCTTCTTACATTTTTCAAAAATCTTGTAAGTTCCTGGTGGCGATGCCAGCAGTAACTCCCACGTGTTTGATCCCGTCTACGCTACTCTTTTGTTTTCCAGCGTCGAGTCTTCCCAGTACAATACCTCCGATTTCCACTGTCTCAGGTTTAGTAACTTCCTGCTTCTGTTTTTTTAAAAAAAAAAAAATCCTTTAAATTCTTGGTGATTTTTTCCCAACTCCTTTAGATTCCTGGTGATTTCCACTCATTCATCATATTTCGTAATATGATGGTGGAACTTTGTACAGCCACTAGTTGTTACATATAGTGACTCTAAAATCATTCGCCATAGCCCACAGATACCAACAGGAATGTGGACTTGAGAAAGTTACAGAGACTTTTAATGTGTTTACTCATATAAAAATGATTTATTGCCTTCCTTCCTAGGTGGTAGTAAGGCTTAAATGGGATGGGTTTAATGCACTAGCACAGTGCTTATATAGGAAGCTCTTTAAGGTAGGTTTATAGGACTTATGTCATCACTAAAAGTATGTTAGTGAAGAGAAGGGTGCATGGCTTCTGTGTGTAGTCTGTATTGTGTGTGTGTGTGTGTCAGCAAGACTAAAAATCTGCATTTTATTCCTTGTAGAAGTGATCTGTTGACTCCATTACTTAGTATGTTACTACTCCAAGACTATGTTTCATTTCCTGAAATGCAACTAGTTCAATTTTTTTCATGTAGTACATTTAAACTCAGATATTTCTGCTGTCTCTAGAACAAGACCTGTATTTTTGCCTTCTCCTTGCCCTCTTCCCCCCTTATAAAATTATTCTTTTTTCTCTTTATTGTCTAGTTTTATTTGCCAACAGAAACTGAATTTCATAGCAACTTTAAGGCAGGAAAAGTTGTTATTTACTGAAATGGAATGGGAGATATCTTGCAGGGACTCCAGATCAACTGCTGTGGTTTTGATTGGAGAGCTTATTTTAGGAATTATCCTGATTTTAGCAGTGCTATCTCTGACCTCACTTTGGTTGCAGCAGAAACAAGAGACAATAGGAATTGGGGGAAGAGCATTAGCCTAGGCGGACTCTGTGCAGGCGCCTAGTTTGGCTCTGCTTAACTCACCTAACATAATTCCTATGGTCTTTGGTTTCCTTTTAGTCTAATGGAGATGTTGAACTTAATAAATACTAATTACTGGATTCTAATTTGTTTTTATATATTTCCTATCTCCCTAATATTTTAAAGGGTACAAGGGAATTATTCACAGTAAAATAAAATTAGAATACCTTTTTAGGATTCCTGTAAGGAGCCAGTACTTGGTAGCCTCTATGAGTACCTTAGTTGAGTGCTGTGGGGTTTGGGGGTGGGGCGCAGAAAGAGATGGTTTTTTGGTGGACTGATACATGAACAAACTAAGATTGTATGCGAAATTTATACCTCTTGAGTAACCCATGTTTATTCATATGCTCCTGTGGGTATATACTATGGAATACTAAGTTTGTTGATACACTGTTACTAAAATATAGCTTAGTGTTTGAAAGCTGAGAGATTGATTGTGAGAAAAAGAAACTATAGGGATTTTTTTTTTAAAAATCAGAAGTCATAATTCCTTATGAGACTGAGGACTAATAAATCATTTTTTATTGCCAGAGAAAGACTATGTTAAAAGTACCGATAGCAACGTAGAATGGTGTTTAAGGTGGATCTAAGTGTGCTAATATGAAAAAATGGCCAAGAAATCCTCAGTGGAAGAAGAGTAAGATGCAAATTATGTAGTATGATACCGTTTAGATTTTTTTCCTATAAAAAGATACATAGACTTACTTCAAACACTTTTATGATATGCTATTAGTTAACTTTTAGGATTTCTATTATAAAATACAAAGTATAGTGAAGATTCTCATACATACAACTTTATATAATTGTGCAAATATATATATGTGGGTTAAATTGTGAGACCTGGAACTGCAAAGTTCATAACATATGTCTATTTTTCATTTTTATAAACAATCTTTAAAACATAAGATGTAAATTAAATGTATAATTTTGTATTGAAAAGGCTGTTATCAATAAGGCCAGTGAATTTATAGAACCAAATTTACTTTTCTAGGTCCTAAGCCTACTCATCCCAAGAAGCCTTCAATTTCAAATTATCCAGGTTTGGTAACTCTTTCCTGCCGATACCATATAAAGAACTTTTTAAGTGATAGATGAAAACTGACATCTTATTGTAATTTGTATGTCTTTAATCAATGACATTGAATATTTTTGGTCTACACTTATTTACTCATAGCCTTAGCCTAGTTTTTTTTTTTTTTTGAATTTTTGGCTGGGGCTGGGTTTGAACCTGCCACCTCCGGCATATGGGACCGGCGCCCTACCCTTTTGAGCCACAGGTGCCGCCCCCTTTGCCTAGTTTTTGGTTAGGTTTCTGACTTTTGTTTTTTGAAAATTCATTATGAATTAAAGCCCTTTTAATATGAAGTGTCAATTTTTCCCTGGTTTTTCTTTCTTTCCTTTTCTTTCTTTCTTTTTTTTTTTTGGAGACAGAGTGCCATTTGGTAGAGTGCTGTGGCATCACAGCTCACAGCAATCTCACACTCTTGGGCTTCAGCGATTCTCTTGCCTCAGCCTCCCAAGGAGCTGGGACTACAGGTGCCCGCCACAACACCCAGCTATTTTTTATTTTTTTTTGTAGTCGTTTTGTAGCAGGCCTGGCCGGGTTCAAACCTGCCAGACCTGGGGTATTGGCTGAGCCCCTGTTTTTCTGCTGTTTTATTTTTACTAGTCAGTTTTCTCTTAAGTTCTTAATACTATTGATAGAGATTGCTTTTTATAACTTTTTATTATGTGAGGAGTATATGAATATTTTTTGTAAAATTTCAGACATTCAGAAAGTATACAGAAAGTAAAAGATTAGTTTTCTTTCTAGTCCATTATCCAAGTTAACTACTGTTACTAGTTTGGGTTTTTTTTTTTTTTTAATCTATTTCTGTACATCCACATCTTTTTATGTATGGTTTAGTTTACATGTAGTTTGGTATTTTTTCTTAAAAATGACATCATGCTGTACTCATTTTTCTACAACTTGTACTTTTTCCACATAGTCTTGGATTGGTGTTGTATTCAGATTTATTCTTTTCTAATGATGACTTGAATATATATCATTTTATTTAATAGCTATTCTATCAGTGGTCATTTATATGTTTGGAAGTTTTATGCTGCTAAGGTAGTTGGGTGTATTGATCTCTTCTGTAACAGCTATGAGTTTTATGTCTTTCTTATGAAATCTTTAGGTCTTCCCCAAGATGAAATTATATAATGATTTCAGCCAAGTGTTCTGACTTCATTCTTTGCATTTAAATTGTTGGGACATCTGAAATTCATTCTGGTATATACAATGAGGTAGGCTTCCTCCCCAACCCATCCTACCCCATCAGATAGCTAAATAACACCATTGGTGGAGTAAGTCGTCTGCTCTTCAAATGATCTGACATGCCACTTTTTATCAGACGTTGAATTTATAGGTATTCTAGCCTCCTTTTTCCTGTGAACTTTGTCCATTCCTGTAACAGAATCAAGTCTTTTTGTTTGTTTGTTTAACCTGTAATACTACATACATTTTAATATCTGCCAGAACACTTTCTTTTCAGAAAATTGCCAGGCTACTCTCACATTAATTTTTCCAAATCAGCTATTTATTTATTTTACCATTTTAACCATAGTACACATATAATTCAGTGGCATTCAATACACTGAAAATGTGCTGTACAACCATCACCACCATTCAGAATTTTTTCATTACCCCAAATGGAAACTCGACTCATTAAACAATAAACAGACATTTATTTCTCATATGCATCACGTGTTGAAAGGGTAACGAGAAGGTGAGAGAGATCAAGAAGGGCAAAACCACTCACTTAATAGCACACATATTCCTGCAATAACAGCATTAGTCCATTCATGAAGGCAGAGCACTCATAACCTAAACACCTCTCAAAGGTCCCACCTATCAGTAACTTTACATTGGCAACTAAATTTCACCAGGAGTTGTAGCGGGTACAAACATTCAAACCGTAGCACCATCCTAATAGATATGAAGTGGTATGTCATTGCAGGTTTGATTTGCATTTCCTCAATGACTGATGATGTATTGAACATCATTTCATGAGCCACTTAATCATTTATATATCTTCTTTAGAGAGATATCTATTCAAGTCCTTTGCTCATTTTCAAATTGGGTTGATTTTTGTTTCTGAGTTTTAGGAGTTCTGGAGATTAATCCCTTATCAAATATATGATTGGCAAATGCTTCCTCCCATTCTGTAGATTGCCTTTTCCCTCTGTAAATGGTGTCCTCTGATGCACAAAGTTTTTCATTTTGAAGTCAAATTTATCTATTTTTTTCCTGTCTTGCTTGTACTTTGGGGGTTACATCCAAGACGTTATTGCCAAATCAGACGTCATAAAGTATTTCCCCTATGGTTTCTTCTAAGAGTTTTTTAATTTTAGCTCTTATCTTTAGGTTTTTGATTCATTTTGAGGTACTTTTTTGGGTATGATAAGGGTCCAACTTCATTCTTTTGCACGTAGATATTCAGTTTTATCAGCACCATTTGTGGAAGAGAATCCCTTTTCCCCACTGACAGTTTCTGGCATTCTTATCAAAAATCACTTGACTGTCTATGTGAGGGTTTATTTCTGGGTTCTCTATTCTATTCCTTTGGTCTGTATGTCTTGTCTTTATGCCAGTACCACACTGTTTTCACTCCTGCAGTTTTGTAGAAAGTTTTGAAATCAGAAGGTGTGAGTCTCCTTAACTTTGGTTTTTGTTTCCAGCATTATTTTGGCTATTCGGGGGTCCCTTGAGGTTTCTCATGAACTTTAAAATGGATTTTTCTATTTCTGCCAAAAGCATCCTCAGGATATCGATGGCATTGCTCTTAATCTGTACATTGCTTTGTATAGTCTTAACCGTTTTACAATATTACATCTTTCTATCCATGAACGCAGGATTTATTTATGTCTTGATCCTTTTGTCCAGTGTACTTGTCTTGTGCCTCCTTGGTTACGTTTATTTCTAAGTATCTTATTCTTTGCGATGCTATTGTAAATGAGATTATTTTCTTAATTTCCTTTTCAGATTATTCATTGTTAGTGAGTAGAAATACAACTGACTTTTTTGTGATTTTTGTATCCTGCAATTTTGCTGAATTCATCTGTTAGTTCTGACAGGTTTTTGCATGAGTGTGTATGTGGAATCCATAGGGTTTCCTACATCAAAGATCATGTCATTTGCAAACAGAGGTAATTTTTTTTTTCCTTTATAATTTGAATTCTTGTTATTCCTTCTTCTTGGCTAATTTCTCTGGTGATCATACCCAGTCTTGTTTCTGATCTTAGGGGAAAGCATTCAGTCATTTACTACTCAGTTGAGTATGCCATTAACTGTGGACTTTTAACATGTGGCCTTTATTATGTCGTGGAAGTTTTCTTTTACTCCAGATCAGTATGTTAGAATCACATTGAATTTGTAGACTAATTTTGAGAATATATTAACAGTAAAGATAAATTTGCATGCCATTCCCACAGAATATTGTCACAGGACATCTTAGTAGGTAGGAAGAAGAAAGATGATGACATTGAATATAAATTTATAAATTTTTATGATATTGACTTAAATGAGAAAAATTAATAAAGTTTATAAGGAAAATGAATTTTAAGAGATTTTGTAAAATGATGAAAAAATCAACCTCTGAATTTAAAGGATTTTAAGCTTGATTTCTTTTCTTTTCTTTTCTTTTCTTTTCTTTTCTTTTCTTTTCTTTCTTACTTAATCCATTTTTCTTCTTTTTTCTAGGATATCCCAATCCAAAAGAAGGCTTGTTTGACATTGGCGAGGATTTGGGTCGGTGCTGATAACAGGACAATTATAAGTGGTAGTATGAATTAGGAACATGTAGGTAATTACAGTTTTTATTAATAAGAGGTCCCCCAATATAGGATTCCTAGTCAGGTAAGGCAACTTCCTTAAATTCTTATGGTTGTATGTAGGTTAAATTTTATACAGCATAATTTGCTTTCCACATGATAGCATCCTTTTTTGTGATGGCAATTTGTAAATAAATTCTTTCTACTCATATTTGCTATACACAAGCCTTAAAGTAATATAAATTGGGTTAGTTTTTCCCTGTAACAGGCTTAACATACTTTATATAGGGTTATACAATTTATACAGGATATATTAAAAGAAAATAATATAGTATAGTTATGACAGTTAAAGTTCAACGAAATAAAAAGATTTCTTAATAAATAAAAAGAAGACAAAAACCTGTTACTTTTCCTTGCTTAGTTTAAGCAATTTGATCAGTCTTTTTATACAAGGCACCTTAGGCTGATTTCTTAGCATATGCTTTAGCTCCTAACTCTAGGGTCAAACTGTCATTGTGCCAGTAAATCTAACACCATCGTATGCTATTAAACACTAGATCACTTTATGAAGTGAGGTAAGCAGAGTTAAGCATGACACGGTATGCTTTGACTTATAGCAAGTTAATAAAAATAATTACAGTTTAGAAAAAGAGGTATCCCCTGAGAGAAACACTTCTACAAGTTAAGATTGTATAGAATGATTTAGTTTTCTCTAGATAGTCAAACATGGATGCTCAAGTTTCTTGGTATAATTTTTATCCATGTGCCCTGATGTTTCATTTATTTTAGAAGGAATCTCCTTGGTATTTAGGACTACGTCTTAATTTTTTTTTTGGGGGGGGGAGGAGATGGGGAGTGGGGAGGTAAGGAGGCTAGGAAGAGGGTTAATAAGATTAATTGTTAATTTGCTAAGATTCTGCAAATACCATCTGTATGATAGATGAATAGAAATTTATTAATGACTTATTCTATAGCTCCACTGGAAAAATATAAACTAAATTCCTACCAAAAATCATTAAAAGATGATTGAATGAATACTGAGCCAAACCAACTATAATGGAATGATACTTTTAAAAATGATTTCCTCCAATCTAGTGAATTCTAGTTGTTCTAATAATCATTAAAAGTAAAGGTAGCTGCAGGACACAGCAAAGAAAAGTGAGGTGCCTATTAAGAGTTTCATTAAGTCGGACTCTAAACCTGAGAGTTTAAAAAAGTTCTGAGGTCAAAATGACCTGGGCACACTAGCAGTCATCCTAAAATGAGACAGATAAACTTTTTTTGCTATACTGTTTAGATTATCCGATTGAAATAAAAATGCAGCTGCTACTCAGAAATCTGTATACCTTCAACATCTTCAGACTGTTTTTGTTTTTTCTCAGGTCCCTGGGTCATTGTTCTAATTATTGTGACTCTGCGTAAGTATCCCACATTCTGACATTACTTAAATATTAAAATACGACTTATGTAGACGTACATTATTTTTTAAGTGGTTCTTTAGTTTCTATAGTTTTTACAGCTGGAGATTAAGTAAAACAATTTATAAAACCTGACCTTTTTATATGATATACTACCTTGTGTTGGTGATTTTATATTCTTGTATAGTTTACATATCCACTTACTAATAAAGCCTAAGTAACACATATTTTCTAGAGATGGTTAATAACATGAGTTTACTTCTCAAAAGTGCTTTTGACAATTTTCTAAAGTAAGCAAGGATTCTTCTCTGACTGAGGACTCTGTGATTCTAGGGAACTGAATTTAGAAAGCAGAGTCTGGATAGAACATAAATGTGTAAGTGCTTAATAAAATAAAATTTTCTGAAAAAAAAACATTTTCTGGCCACTGAAATATAACCAACATTTATTTCTTCTGCTAGATTTTGAATTTTGGTAATTAGTTTTCAGAGTCATACATCATTTGTTTCCTGGTTTCTTATAGTTGTTGGGGTCGCAGTAATCTGCATCGGCCTGTATCGATGTTTTGAAAGGAGGAAGAAGAAAGGGTAAATTAAAGCATGTTTCTTCCAGCTTACTGGTGCTTTTCATCCTTGACATGCTTTCATGCTGCTTAAATGTGTACTTTGTATTGTATGCCATCTTTTTTTTTTTTAAATGCGTCTGCATGATTGTGTCCTACGAATTGCATTTCTTTGCTAAAGATATTTTCAGCTACTTTGAACATCATTGCAGCATGAGGAATCTCTGCAGAGTTGCTTCAGTTGCTATTATGACTTTAAGAAAAAGTTCTGTGGGATTTGAGGTTGAAATTCTTTAGCAAATGATGGATCACTGCCAGGGTTTCTCTACCCTAAGTAGGGAAGGGAATGTTTCCTAAATTAGACTAGTGGCCCAAATTAAATTTAAAGTAGTTCATTGTTGAGATTTTGACAGTTGTAGTCACTGTCATTTTTAAGATGAAAGTGTTCATTTGTCTGTAAAACTTAGTTATAAGAAGCTATGTCGATGTTTTCCTCAGATATCCAATTTGGTTTTTTTTTTTATTTACAATATTTATGTATTTAAACTGAGGAATCAAAACCAACACTATTTGATTTCCCTTTTATGTTCTCTTAATTTTTGAGACTGCAGGAAAACTCATAGGGTTAAACTAAAAATTGCTCAGAGAAGTAAGATTTATAAGGCACCTCAATTAGCTTTTGTGTGTGCTTTTATCTATGAAAATGAAAAAAGGGAGGCCACAGAATAGGAAAAATATATGTAAGTACAAATCTTCTAGTGTAAATAGGGCTTTAAAACACCAAACTTAAATTTTACTGAATTTAATTTTAGCGAAGATTTGGAATAAATCCTGCAGCATAAGCAAAGATTAGGTGATTTGGAATTTCTGAAAGATAATATGCATTTTTATTGATTGTTATTCCCCCTGTAGCTTTAGAAATAACTTCGAAATCAAACCTAATAATTTTTAAGACTTTTGGTGCTCACAGTTTTATAACACAACTTCCTTTTACAATAATCATCAGATTTGGGCCATGTCATGAAAGTACATTCTTCATTCATAAGGAGCTCAAACATTTTTCATATGACTTGGTTGTTACCTTTTTTAAATACCCACGGTGCCTTCATTTGAATCTTAAATCTTGTGTTTATGGAACACATGATATGCATATGTGATTTCCATGTCAGTTGTTTATTTAAAAAATTATATATGTGAGTAGGAAATACTATTGATGAAATATTTTTCTAAGTCCAAAACGTTTGTGTAGAATTAACTTCTCAAGAAAGCATAACAAAGGCATATTCTGCTCATTTTCCTTCTTTGTTTAAAATATCACTGCATCAGGATCTTTAAAGTTTCCCTAACAAGCACTAATCAAACTCTCTGTAGCTACCAGTTAATGGGGTTGTTAAAGCTCAATGGTTAATGTGATCACTGTACTCCCAAATTAAAGTTTCAAAAGCAATAGTGATTTGTGATTCCAAAATTAATTTGGTGGGTGATTTTTTTAAAGCCTATATTTTACAGCATAGGGTCCATCAGAAAATTGTTCTTTGAACATTTTAAAATATTTTGGGGAGGTATTATATCTTTAACCAATATATTATCCCCTGTACAGCAGCACAACTTGAAAAAAAATTAATAAAATGTGTGGGAGAGGTAATTGATAATTGTCTTTGAACTAAAACATTCAGTATCTGAGAATATCTTATGGGATATACGTTGCACCACTTATGACAGGAATATACTTAATTAGAAATTCAATATAATGTGTAATGGCTGAATTCAAAGTTAAGGTCTTTTTGTGGATTGTTTGGCTCTAAGACATTGAAGCTCTATTTAACTCTTCAAGTTCTGTATTATTTTAATAGCTGAAGTTTGCTCTAACGTGAGGGTGGCATATTTTGGTTCATTAGAGGGGAAAGCAGAGCTTCTCTAAGTTTAAATTAATCACCTGTAGACCTATTAAAGTACAGATTCCAATTCATTAGGTCTGGGGTGGAGCCTGAGATCCTGAATTTCCAGTGATCTCCTACGTGATGGCGTTACTAAGCCAGGACTATCCTTTGAGTGACTAGTGTGTAGACTATTATGAATGTGCCCAGATTGTTGAAATTTGAAGGAATACCATCAATTTACCATTGGCAAATTTTTCTGATGTTTAAGTTAATTAGAGTGTCTGAGACTCCTTATCTAAAAAAGGGGTGGGGTAACCCCTCCTCTTGGCTGTTGTTGCCTTCAAAACTACAATAAAATGTATGAAGTTACTTCTTCATTTCTAGGGGTAACTCGGGAAGCAGGGTAGCAGGCACAGATAATCCCCAAATTGCTGTTAAAATGAGACTCAAAATGGGTTTGATGTAAACTGGTACTTAGGATGATTTGGGAACATAATTACCCTACTATAGACGGCTTCATCACGAAAAGTACAAAAATAATACGAGTAGTCATTTTAAGATCATTCAACATCATTTAACTAGAATAGGGTCTTGATTGGTCTAGAACACGTCCCATCCTCATGCTTCCTCCTTTTTCCTTTCAGCTTCCCTTTTTAACTAATTCTTTTGTACTTTCTAGTCTCGGAAGCCACAGCCCTTTCCCTGCCTGTGCTACTGCTTGAGTCCCATATTGCATGTCCTGACTGTGTGTTTCTCCACCACAGATGCCTTTTGTTTACATAATTATTTTCATAACTTGCAGTGATTTTTTTCCCCCATAACTATATGATTTGGGTTTTTTATGACCGTTAAATTATCCCTAGATAGGTGACAGTTGACTAAGTTCCTAAGAATGATTTGCATGATCTATGTCTTTTTATTACCTGTGACAAAATAGTTTTTCTTTTTTTCACGGTTCAACATAACTTCAACCTACCTTTAATGTTACATTAATATGGACCGATCCAATTACTTTGGTAATTTTTAAGCTGTCTCTGCTTAAATAGCAGTTAATAAATGCTGTGGTTGAAATAGTGGTCAGTGCAGGTAACTGAGAAGTGTAATGACAGAGGGCAGAAAAAGGATCAGATTAACTTGTTTTCAGCATGAAACATAATGAACAGAAATTTCCTATCTGTTCATCTGCTGGACGATCTAGAAAACTCCAGAGATCAAGTAGTTTCTTATACACTGTTTGGGTTTCCAGTCCCTTGGGGAGAAATTAGAAATTCTTGATTTATGAACCTAATTCTCAGCTTTCCTTCTATTCCATTCCATCATGGATTTTTATCCCACTTATGCTATACTTCTTTTTGGTTTGTCCCTATTTTATTCAGCTATTTTCCTTTCCTCTGTTCAGCACATACATAACTGGTGAGAGCTACAAAGAAGTAAATTTTACTTCTCTCTGAGAAGAAGAGATGAGAGAAAGGTTTGCTTTTATCATGACAAGGTATCTGCTTTCTGTTGTTTCTTTTCAGAGATGTCCTTTCTTTTGCAAAAAGTCAATTGATGTTTAGATATCAATAACCTGAGCTGAGATAGTGGGCAGTAAACATTCAAGAGGAAATTTAGATTCCTGTTCCATTTGCTAAATGATTGATGTTTGTTTATAGCAGTCTTTTAAAAAATCTAATATAATGTGCTTAGATGTAGGCTCTACTGGAGTTATGCTTCTCTCATCCTTTTATCAGACTATCTGGCTTCCTCTATCTTATAGAACAGCTGTGAGCCCAAAGTCGGGGAATATGTGAGCCTTTAGAATCACAGAATCAATTCATTTTAAGTACAAGGAAGAAAAATGCCCTTTTACGGAAACTAGATTATACCTTAATTTTGTAAATGTATTCAATGCCAACTTATAAATAACTCTGTAAAGGCATTTTACCTGTTTCCCTGGACTATATTTCGTCTATTTGTGGAAAAAACCCTCAGATTTTGAAAAATTATGGATTGCATTGCCTTAAACCCTTTGACTCCATTCCCTTTCTGTCTTTCAGTTGGAATGAGTTAGGTAAGTGTTCCTCTTTGTGCCAGAGTATGTGTCTGTAGCTGGGAAGAGAGGGAGATCGGTGTCCCACCTCTTCTAATGTGCACTAGAGTAAGTAACCGACAAAGATGAGATTGAAAAAAATAGTTCTGGCTCAGCGCCTGTGGCTCAAGTGGTTAAGGCGCCAGCCACATACACCTAAGGTGGCGGGTTCGAATCCCCAGCCCGGGCCCGCCAAACAACAATGATGGCTGACACCAAAAAATAGCCGGGCGTTGTGGTGGGCGCCTGTGGTCCCAGCTACTTGGGAGGCAGAGGCAGGAGACTCGCTTGAGCCCAGGAGTTGGAGGTTGCTGTGAGCTGTGATGCCACAGCACTCTACCCAGTGCTACAGCTTGAGGCTCTGTCTCAAAAAAAAAAAAAAGAAAGAAAGAAAGAAAAAAATAGTTCTGGGAGTAAGATCTCCAAAGGCCAATGGGAAGGATAATTTTTTAGTAAAAGCAAAGTGGTACCTTTGATCAGAGCGGCAATGGGAAAGATAAAACAGACCAATAGAAATGGCATTTGGGACCAACCCAGTCCTATATTCAATAGTACCCCTTTATCCACAAGGGATACAGTCTAAGACCCCTAGTGAATGCCTGAAACTATGGATAGTACCTAACCCTATATATGCTGTGCTTTTTCCTGTGTATAGATACCTGTTATAAAGTTTAATGTATAAATTAGGCACAGAAAGATTAATAGCAATAACTGTTAATAAAATCAAAGCAGTTATAGCAATATGCCAACATCACTACTCTTGTGCTTTGGGGCCATTATTAAGTAAAATAAGGGTTATTTGCACATAAGCACCGTGATACTTTGAAAGTTGATCTGAGAACCAAGATAGCTCCTACATGACTAACGGGCAGGTAGCATAGACAGCAAGCTACATCAGAAAGAGGGAAAAATCTAGTCCTGTGTGAGATTTCATCGTGATACTCTGCATGGCATGCAGTGTAAAACTAATTGTTCACTTCTGTCGTTTCAACTCAAAGACAGAAGGTGGAGGTCAAAGAGTTTAAGGCAGTGCAGTTCATTAATATTTTTGGACTGTGGTTGACCTTGGGTAGCTGAACCTGCATAAAGAGCTTGGAGAAAGGAGGACCCATCCTCAGTCTCTTAGGATTCTTGGGAGGCTAAAGCCAACTGGGGAAGTGGTTTTTAGACCCTGAGCTTCAGAGTGTCCATAAACATTTAGAGATAATAATACTAAAGTTAACATAAAATAATGGTAATTGGTAATTGAGTTTCAATTTTTTTTTTTTTTTTTTGCAGTTTTTGGCTGGGGCTGGGTTTGAACCCACCACTTCCAGCATACGGGGCCGGCGCCCTAGCCCTTTGAGCCCAGGTGCTGCTTGAGTTTCAAATGTTTACCATCTTCAAAATGGCTTCATTGTCATATCAAATAAATGTTTTTTGAAATTTATGTTAATGGTTTTTAACTTCTTCATAGGTTGTATTTCTATTTAAAACTCTACTTTAAAGACTACTACTACAGGTGGTGCCTGTGGCTCAAAGGAGTAGGGTGCCGGCCCCATATACTGGAGGTGGTGGGTTCAAACCCAGCCCCCGTCAAAAACTGCAAAAAAAAAAGACTGCTACTAATAGAAAAAAGAATTCAGTGACAGGCTACACTATTGAGTCCCTTCTTCACAACATTTCTGAGTAAACTGCAGTATCACAAGTACAGTCATGTAACAGTGGAATAACCTAGCAGTGGCTTCTCCTACAGAGAGGAATATTAAAGTATCCAAAATTAACAGGGCTAGCTGTCACCCTGGGTATTCATCTCTGAAGTGCTTGCTGTGGCACATGTCCTGGTAAATAACTGACTGGTCCAAATTTAGTCTTAGTTTGTCTATGAAAGTCAGTTTAGTAGGCAGAGCCTAGAGTCAGTAACCGTGGACTTCAAAAGAGGCTAGTCCAATGTAAGATGTGCTATAAGTAAGATACACACTGGATTTCAAAGACAGCACAGAGAAATATAAAATGTATGTCCCAATGATAATATTTAGGCTCTACTGGGTTAAATAAAAATAATATGTCAGCTTTTCCTATTTATTTTCCTTTTTTAATGCAGCTTCTAGACAATTTTAAATTACACATGTGCCTGGCATTATATTCTTTTGGACAGCAGCAAATTAGAGTAACAGGCTTTCTAAAGATATGTATTGCTGCAATAAAAGTGTGATGTCAACTTGAGTTATTTAGGAGAATCTTTCACCAGAAAACATGATTTCCTTGACAGCAAGGGGCCAACAAGGCATTACTAACCACACTGGAAATACTGTCAGAACCACTGCCTTTTGAAAGGTTTTGTCTCAGGGCCACAGCTTTAAGATGGTGATAATAGGAGAACTCATGTTTCTCTCCAATCTTTCACATTGGTCTTCAATCACAAGGAGGAAGTATTTACTACTAACTACTTTGTACGCTACCGCTGTACTTCTTGTTTTGGGGGGGGATGTAAAATATAACAGAGGGAGAGAAGAAGAGTCTTTAGAGTGAGACTGTTGAACCACGGAAAACATTTTAAAAGAATCATTTATTTCCTAGTTTGAGAACTCTGTAGTAGAAATTGTTGGGGGGGGGGTTTAATTTGTCCATTGTATAAATAGGCTTCTGGAATTTGATTTCTGTGTTGTATTTGTCTTTGATACTGTCTTTATACCTTGCCTTGTAGGAACAGAGAGGTTAGAGCTGACTATGTCACTTACCAGCATAAGTCAACCACTCCAGCAGAGCAGACAGACTGAACGGTTTCCACAACCTGCTTTATCAGTTTATCTTTTGATTCTGTTAAAATCTTCAGTTGTACAATAGCTACTCTTTAGTTTCACTCTCATGAGTGCAACTGTAAAGTCACAATGTTGTAACTTTATGTCAGTTGCATGTGGTCACCATCCTCTGATGCTTCTTTTGAATTTGGATGTGAACATACTGCCTGTTTTCCCTTAAATAATATTTCTATTTATGGAGCAAATCAACACAGCTTCCTTGGTAGTATTAAAGTAGGGAAATGATTTATAAAATTGGAAAATTTAGAGAAATATAGACCGAAATGAAATTACATAATGATCTTGAGAAAAATGATCTTAAAAAAAATCAAATGACTTTTTGTTAAGAAATTGATTTTAACATCTTTTTTTATTCAAAGATTCATTCCAATGCGTAAGATTCATTCTTTCTACAATTCTAAAGTTGTATATATTGTTCATCAGAAAGCCCTTACAAATATATCTGTACTACTCTGGCTCTCATCTATTAAATACAGGAACACTACAAATTGGAAATATGGACAGATTTGACTTCCTTAACTCAGAAAATGTTGGACAATTATCTAAAAGTTAATAAGATAAAAGTTTTTTTTTTAATTTTTGGTAACATCTTTGGTGACTTAAAGAAACTAGAATGTTTATTATGTATGGCATTTATTTTCACCTTTTCTTACGCATCCATCAACCCGCCCAAGAAATCAGTAAGATTTCAGAATCAGTTAACGTACTTTCATTTGAAGTTAGAAGACTGTGACACTCATAATGAGAATGTTAGTGTGTGGTGTGAAGTGAACCCTGTGACCCCGTGGCCTTCTTTCACTACTTAAAGAGAGCTTTTACTTTAAAAACGTGCTCTCTATAAGCAAGTAGTTTTGCAAAGAATAAAATCCTCATCTTATCTATGTATGCGTCTTACCTCATCTCCTAAAAAGGAGAGTAAAGATTACTTTGTACGTATTAGCGAAAGAAACTTGGCTTTCGTCTATTTGCTGTTGGTCGTACTTAGGGACATAAACATCTCAGGGAGCATGTAATGCTCAGGGAGAATAAATAGATCTTGGTCCTCTACTGAAGCCCCAACTTTGGCAGAGTCTCTTTCAAAGAAGCCAGTGGGCAAAGAGAAGGAGCAACCATTCCAATTCAGATGTTGTTATAAGTTGTGTTTTGAACTTTCGTATTTAGTATCTAGCTTTGGGCCAAAGAAGTCTTGCCTGGAGAAGACTGACTGGGGAAGCAAGGGTGGATCAGAATATTGTTTTACTGTATGGAGACACGTTTACAGTGTGCCAGGCTTCTTCCCTGTGTAATCTCCTGTGAGATGAGATGCCTTAGGAAGGTAAAAGTTTGAGGAAAAATCAACAGGAATTCCAAAGCATAGAGTTCAAGTTTATACCCATTTTCACAGTTTTCCAGAATATAGCAATTGCATTAGAGGCAAGGAATGGCTGTGCCTTTTTTGGTAAACTTAATTGTATTTTCAACTAAATTATGCTTATAGTAAATATACTTTTATAGCAGTTTCTGCTTCAAATTTAATTTTTATATTTGAGATTTCTATATGTATAAATATATATTTTGTCTAATAATTTGTCAATTACTTAAATATATGGAGAGGTCTGTTTTCCTTAGAACTTTGTATAAAGGACAGGAGAAAGCATATTTGAATTTTAAGAAAAATATTTAAATGGCAAAAATATATTTGTGGTAAAATGAGAAGTCTCATGTATAGAGGTTCTTTATTGCTCATTTTTTTTGAAAACTGGCTCTTCAAATATGTTAAAATAAAATTGTACATTTGGAGAAGCTTGATTTATGATGATGTGTTTATTTCTGGTGTGTTCTATCTCGAATCAGTGTGTGTTTCTAATTGGGGCCTGTCTTCTAACCATCCTCCTCCCACAGTCCTCTCTCCTGTCCTGCACCGCTCAGACCCTTCTCTCCAGGCGTCCCTGTACCAGCCCATCACCCAGATGCTACTCAGTGTGCAGTGACCCCACATTACCTACAGGATGAAGCTAGATTTCTTAGCCTGATACTTGAAGAGCTTCTATAGTTAAATCCCAACTTTCTTCCCAAGCCTTTTCTTTCTGCTCCACTTCAAATAACCGCCTCTCAGTCAAGCCTGAGCATCTGCCCTGTGCTTCCTACTGTATTCCTAGTTCACCATTGCCTGAAATACCTATTGTTCTGTCCAGATCCCATGCATCTTCCAAGGCCCAGCTCACATACTATCCATTCCAGGAAGCTTCTCCTGATTTCTGCTCATTCTCAGTCTTTATTACCTAACTTTGGATTAGCCACATTTAAGGTATCTGTCTACATGTGTCCAGCAGAAGATTTATCTTCCACATCCCTTTAACATATACACAGGGCTAAATAAAAACTCAAGTTGCAATAAATAAGGCATAAAATTGAATTGCATACCTAACAGGTTTGGTTTTGTTCATGCGAAAATCTTTCTGTTTTTGCAGATTTAAATTAAATAATATTGTTACATCTCTCAGATCAGCCATTAGTGTTTCTCAGCCACGGCTACACACTGGAATCACCTGGGACAACTTACTGACACCTGGTTCTCACCCCTAGAGATTTACAGTGTAATTGATCTGGGATGTAGCTTGCGCACAGAAATTTTTCTAAAGTTTCCCAAATGATTCTACAGTGCAGCTAAGCTTGAGAACCTCTGCATTAATGATTCTTAAGCCCCACAGTCAATTTCTTCATATAAACTTATACAGACAGTAAAGGCTTATACTTACAAAAGAAAATTCTGGGCTTATTCCACTTATGAAAGACATTAGAAAATTCAAGTTGAATTAAGGTTTTATTGTCTAGCTAACTGAACAAGGCTATCTGTGGTTAGAAATTCAAGCTTTCTGTTTAATATCAACATGGGACAAAATTATAATTACTATGAATAAACCATTTTAGAAAATTTTATGTTGCCTTAGTTACTTTATAATTTTATAAAATATATAGGGAGCATAAGCTAACAACACAAGTCTGCAAGAATGAGGAAGAGACCCGAGATGACTGGAAGGAATATGAATTTGCATTGTCAAAGTGATCTTAGGGTTTAAGAGAAATAGGCAACTCTATCATAGTCTAAAGCAGTGGTTCTCAACCTGTGGGTGGCGACCCACAGGAACTATATTAAAGGGCCATGGCATCAGGAAGGTTGAGAACCACTGTTCTAAAGCTTAGTAATGCCTTTAAGCTAACGTTTTAACTAAGAATAAGTTTTGCATATTTTAAAAATTTGCATACTTGTGACTCAAGAGCAGAATTTAACAGAATCTACTAACTTGCAGAAAATGATGCAAAACTGAGTGACTGTACATATGAATTTTTCCCCCCAAGCTACATTGGTTCCATCAAAATTTCTAGGCTCATCCAGAAAAGGTTACAATAGGAAGTACGGTAATTCTTTGTACTTTGTAGCACTGCTGCCCTCCTGTGGACTGTTGGGGCATTTGACAACTCCTTCTTGACCCATTCAAATTTTGCCATTATTCAACTGCAGACATTGCTGATTCCCAGAAGCCATTTTTTAATTTCACTTTGGATCTTCTATAAACTAGCTCTCTGCTGCTGCTTCTGTGACATTAATACTTTTAAAAGGGTTAAACTTTCAGAGCCAGATGCAGTGGTTCACACCCGTAAGCCCAGCACTGGGCTGCAGGTGCACTTACAGCCTGAAGTTTGAGACCATCCTGGGCAACACAGGGAGATAACTCCTCTCCCCGACAGAATCTCAACAAATACTAAAATAAAAATAAAAATAGAATGAGCCAGGTGTGGTAGTGCACATCTGTAGTCCTAGCTACTTGGCAGGCTAAGGCAGGCTCGCTTGGGCCCAGGTGTTTGAGGCTGCAGTTAACTATGACACCACTGTGTACTCCACTCTGGGTCACAGAGGCTCTGTCTCCCTCTGCAAAAGGGGTGGGAGTTGTTAAACTCTGTCCATTGTTAAATATGTAGGAAGAACACTATTTGGAATCCATGACCAATACACAATTTTTCTTTTCTTCTCACATACCAACAGAAGGTGAACAAATCACCACAAATACAGATAACAGGAGAATGCTACCCATCTTGATTCCTGACTTGACCCAGAAAACCTGTACAGAGGTAGTAAACTTATGTTAGGAGAAGCCACTCAAGTGTAGAAAACTGAATTCCCTGGTGTAGCTTTTAGAGGATTGAACTATTATTGCATGTTGAAGTGGCAAATCCTTTGTCAAACAACTATAAACAAGAGCTCTGGCATCTTTGTGCTTAGAGCTTGTGGCTTGAGAATTCAGGGGACTACTAATGCTTAAACCAGTACTTAAGTATGGTTGTTTGAAAAAACTCGCCACGTCTGATTACCCACCTTCACCTGAAAGGGCTTCTAGGGGGTGGAACTCAATTACTGAATAATTCTTGGATAGGCTTCCATGGCACCACACTTCTCATTTCAGTGTGTAAGTGAATCACCTGGTGATCTTGCTTAAAAAGCAAATTCTGATTCCAAAGGTATCAAATGGAGCCTGAGGTTCTCCATTCCCAGTGAATTCTCAAGTACTGCTGTTTGTGGTGGGATGTAACATGGCCTCCAACGATAGCCAGCTCCTTATGTCTGCAACCTATGAACGTTACTTCATATGGCAAAAGGGTCTTTGCAGATGAGATTGAATTAAGGACCATGAAAGAGGGAGATTATTTTAGAGTATCAAGGTGGGGCCCTAAACGTGATTACAAGCGTCTTACTTAGAGGGAGGCAGAGGGACCTTTGAGTGTGGCAGAAGATAATGTGGCCACCAAAGCAAAATGCTACACAGCTGGCTTTGAAAATGGAGGGAGGGATGCAGCCAAAGATGCAGGTCTAGAAACTGAAAAAGGCAAGAGAACCGGCCTCCCTCCTGGCACGTCTGAAGGGAGCGTGGCCTTGCCAATACTTTGATTTCCTCCCAGTGAAACTGATTTCGTGCTTCTGACCTGAACTGTTAAGAATAAATGTGTTAAGACACGACTTCTGTGGTACCTTGTTATAGCCATGACAGGAAACTGCTATACCAGTGCTGGGGGTGGTCCTCAGACCACGCCGTGAGTAAAGCCTTTTGAAACAAGACCACAGAAAAGTGGCTCAACTCTGGCTGAACATCAGAATCACCTGTGAAAACTTTAAAACCAAGAAATTGCTGCCCAGGCCCTGTTACTAGACCAGCTAAACCAAAGTCTGTCAGGGCGGAACCCAAGGATCATTCATTTAAAGGCTTTTGGGGTGAATCCAGTATAGGGACCCTATACTGGATGGTGCACTGTTGCATTAGGATAAACCCAAAATAGAACTTTTCTTGTGTTTAAGAAAAGCTCTTTAACTCCCCAGAAGTTTAGACACACTTGTCTGCTAGGTACTTCCCAGAAACTATACACCAGCTTCTTAGACATGTTTTTTTTTCACCTGAACTGGGCAAAGAGTTGACTTGTCTAACTCATGTTAAGGATTCAGGAGCGTTATTCCCATGGATGGGAGGACAGAGCCAGGACGACTTGGAAGAGGCTTGCGTGTGCCTTTAGTCTAATAACCCTTTCCACTTACATGTGCACAGCTCCAAAACCTGACGAAATTCAGGTAAGCAGGACCCATGCTTTCTACAGACTGCATTGGTGGTGATGGCTTCATAAACCTGATTCAAGATGCCGTATCCAAAGGAAATAGCCTGAATTACCAATTATAAAAAACCACTTCAGAATGCCAATTTTAGGTAAAGGGCTGCCAGCATCCTGAGGAATAAACAAAATATCCTGTGTGCAAGGTAGTCCTGGTTACATTTTGCTTCTCATGACCTAGTAATGTGGCACTTCTTAAGCATTCAATAGATGCCATGAATTTTTACAGAAAAGATGCCTCAAGTCATTGTTTTAGTGCTGTGATACTAAACTTGAAGTAGCACCTACCCATTTAAGAGCTGAAATCAGGGCCACCTGAGACGAGAATCCGTGTCTTGTTTGCACCTGAAATACCTATGCTGGAGCCTGGGACACGGTAGATGAATAAAAGGTTATTTAATCTGTAGTCAGCACAGAAGACTCAGAAGATGTCATACCTGCAGATACTACCACAGACTAGCTCAGTAGGGAAGTGAATAAAATAACACAATTTAGGGGTTTAACTATTCCTACCAGCATATCCTGGGGATTAGAACATGGATCCTTCCCTTGACAGCCTGAAATAGCGCTGCAGCTGCAGTGAGGGGGTGCATCACACTCACTGGCATGGCTTCCTGGCAAATGCTGCTTCCACCCCCTACACCTCCAGCCCACTGGGCCCGGCAGCCATCTAGGGGAGGGGAGACTGTGATGGGAGGTGCACTCGGAACAGGCTTCCTAGATGGCTGAAAGAGAACCGAGAACCTTGAAATAATTGTACTGCAGGTAGTTCACAGTCAGCCATGCACCTCCTGTAGCCAGAACTTGATGCAGGGGCCACAGCCTGCCTTCCTAAAGATTCTCCAAGCTTAATCCGCCAAGAAGTCAAATCTGGCTAATCTCTGAATAGCTTTTACAAAACTGGCTTGCCTTGTCTACAAGGGTTGATAAAAACTAACAGCCAAAAGTAGAACTCCATCTTTTATAACGCATCTAATCTAAAATCAGCACTGTTCCCCTCTAAGAACCACGTGACAATACACAGTTCAGCAAAAGTTCCTCACGGGAACACTGGCTGGCGGAGGGGCTGTGTCTGCAGCCCATTTGGAAGCGAGGGCAGTTTT